ATATATCATCCACGAGAATGTAATATACTAGAAAATCTTAGCGTATGTATATATATATATATATATATAATATAATATATATATATAATATATATATATATATATATATATATATATAAAATACACACGACGCCCTAATCCACTGGACCATACGATCCTTAAGAGTAGCGCATCCAGCGGAACTGGATGTTGTACTCCCTACCCAAGGACACACGATGGTGTGGATGACTCTAGGCTAATTTCATTCTAGTCCCTGTTTGGTGTATTACTTCAATGAGTAGTATTTGATATTATTGTGACCACGAACGAGTGGTATTGATCAATAACAACACTGCACTAGCCAAGGACTCGAACCCATGATGTTTTGGCCATCGTGTGTCCTTGGGTAGGGAGTACAACATCCAGTTCCGCTGGATGTTCTACTTTGAAGGATCGTATGGTCCAGTGGATTAGGGCGTCATGCGTTTACGCCCACCATGAGGCAGGCCAAAACAGCATGGGTTCGAGTCCTTGTCTAGTGTAGTGTTGTTATTGATCTATACCACTCGTTCGTGGTCACAATAATATATATATATACATACATAGTATCCTAGAGACGTGGATCTCAACACTGTTACAATTAGATGCCTGACGCAGGCGCCAGTGGGTCCTCATTTTACCAATGGCATCTATGAGGCGGTGCCAGAAATTAGAGGACACCATCACTCAGTGCCAGGTATACAGGCAAGTCTTGTGGCACCTCTGAGGCAGTACCAGCCATTACAAGACACCAACAATCAGTGCCAGGTATACAGGAAAGACTTGGGTCATCCTGGTCTGTGTACACTTCTTCACAGCTCTACTGTCCTAAGACTTAGCACAGTATACATAACCACACAGTAATTCATACAATTACGACACCTTTGTTGAAAACATTTGATTCTTGCGTTATTATGATTATTATTATAATTTTTATGAGTGTATGAGTCATTGATAACGTACTATAAGTACTTAACAAGACAGGTGTGTTAGTGTGGAGAGTCACACGACCTGTGGGAAGCAATTTCTGATAAATGAATTGCTTGTCATAATGGTCCAAGAGCTATATACACTGAAAAGTGTATATTCCTTGGTGTATATACACTGAGAAGTGTATATTCCTAGGAGTATATACACTGAAAAGTGTATATTCCTAGGAGTATATACACTGAGAAGTGTATATTCCTAGGAGTATATACACTGAGAAGCGTATATTCCTAGGAGTATATACCTGAGAAGTGTATATTCTAGGTGTATATACACTGAGAAGTGTATATTCCTAGGTGTATATACACTGAGAAGTGTATATTCCTAGGAGTATATACACTGAGAAGTGTATATTCCTAGGTGTATATACACTGAGAAGTGTATATTCCTAGGTGTATATACACTGAGAAGCGTATATTCCTAGGAGTATATACACTGAGAAGCGTATATTCCTAGGTGTATATACACTGAAAAGTGTATATTCCTTGGTGTAATATAACACTGAGAATGTATATTCCTAGGTGTATATACACTGAGAAGTGTATATTCCTAGGAGTATATACACTGAGAAGCGTATATTCCTAGGAGTATATACACTGAGAAGTGTATATTCCTAGGAGTATATACACTGAGAAGCGTATAAGAGATAAGATAAGATAAGATTTCGTTCGGATTTTTAACCCCGGAGGGTTAGCCACCCAGGATAACCCAAGAAAGTCAGTGCGTCATCGAGGACTGTCTAACTTATTTCCATTGGGGTCCTTAATCTTGTCCCCCAGGATGCGACCCACACCAGTCGACTAACACCCAGGTACCTATTTGCTGCTAGGTGAACAGGACAACAGGTGTAAGGAAACGTGTCGAATGTTTCCACCCGCCGGGAATCGAACCCGGGCCCTCCGTGTGTGAAGCGGGAGCTTTAGCCACCAGGCCACCGGGAGTATATACACTGAGTATATACACTGAGAAGTGTATATTCCTAGATGTATATACACTGAGAAGTGTATATTCCTAGGTGTATATACACTGAGAGGTGAGTATCATTCAGTATTTGTAGTCTAGAACAAAGCAAGCTCAGGTTCTGACACGAGTCTTATACATGATAAACAATGTGTTTAGATAATGTGGTAGTCTGACTCATTATATATCATCGGTAAAGCTAATTGTGTAATGCTTGGGCTGCCTTCTCTTACCAGCTAGTAGAGGGACTGAGGGCTTGGGCTGCCTTCTCTTACCAGCTAGTAGAGGGACTGAGGGCTTGGGCTGCCTTCTCTTACCAGCTAGTAGAGGGACTGAGGGCTTGGGCTGCCTTCTCTTACCAGCTAGTAGAGGGACTGAGGGCTTGGGCTGCCTTCTCTTACCAGCTAGTAGAGGGACTGAGGGCTTGGGCTGCCTTCTCTTACCAGCTAGTAGAGGACTGAGGGCTTGGGCTGCCTTCTCTTACCAGCTAGTAGAGGGACTGAGGCTTGGGCTGCCTTCTCTTACCAGCTAGTAAGGGACTGAGGGCTTGGGCTGCCTTCTCTTACCAGCTAGTAGAGGGACTGAGGACTTGGGCTGCCTTCTCTTACCAGCTAGTAGAGGGACTGAGGGCTTGGGCTGCCTTCTCTTACCAGCTAGTAGAGGTACTGAGGGCTTGGGCTGCCTTCTCTTACCAGCTAGTAGAGGGACTGAGGGCTTGGGCTGCCTTCTCTTACCAGCTAGTAGAGGGACTGAGGACTTGGGCTGCCTTCTCTTACCAGCTAGTAGAGGTACTGAGGGCTTGGGCTGCCTTCTCTTACCAGTTAGTAGAGGTACTGAGGACTTGGGCTGCCTTCTCTTACCAGCTAGTAGAGGGACTGAGGACTTGGGCTGCCTTCTCTTACCAGTTAGTAGAGGTACTGAGGGCTTGGGCTGCCTTCTCTTACCAGCTAGTAGAGGGACTGAGGGCTTGGGCTGCCTTCTCTTACCAGTTAGTAGAGGGACTGAGGACTTGGGCTGCCTTCTCTTACCAGCTAGTAGAGGTACTGAGGACTTGGGCTGCCTTCTCTTACCAGCTAGTAGAGGTACTGAGGATTTGGGCTGCCTTCTCTTACCAGCTAGTAGAGGTACTGAGGACTTGGGCTGCCTTCTCTTACCAGCTAGTAGAGGTACTGAGGACTTGGGCTGCCTTCTCTTACCAGCTAGTAGAGGTACTGAGGATTTGGGCTGCCTTCTCTTACCAGCTAGTAGAGGGACTGAGGGCCTGGGCTGCCTTCTCTTACCAGCTAGTAGAGGTACTGAGGACTTGGGCTGCCTTCTCTTACTAGGGTAGTAAAGGGACTGAGGACACCTCCCTGTGGATTCTTAATTCAAAGTCTTTAGTTACATTTCTATGGTCCTGAAACAACACAGAAGACTTTCTGTTGGACAGGGAGGCCAAGCCCATGATGACACTCTTCAGGTCACTTGTTCTATCTAGGCTGGAATATTGCTGCACACTAACAGCACCTTTCAAGGCAGGTGAAATTGCTGACCTAGAAAATGTACAGAGAACCTTCACGGCACGCATAACGGAGATAAAACACCTCAATTACTGGGAGCGCTTGAGGTTCCTAAACCTGTATTCCCTGGAACGCAGGCGGGAGAGATACATGATTATATACACCTGGAAAATCCTAGAGGGACTAGTACCGAACTTGCACACGAAAATCACTCACTACGAAAGCAAAAGACTTGGCAGACGATGCAACATCCCCCCAATGAAAAGCAGGGGTGTCACTAGCACGTTAAGAGACCATACAATAAGTGGCAGGGGCCCGAGACTGTTCAACTGCCTCCCAGCATACATAAGGGGGATTACCAACAGACCCCTGGCAGTCTTCAAGCTGGCACTGGACAAGCACCTAAAGTCGGTTCCTGACCAGCCGGGCTGTGGCTCGTACGTTGGTTTGCGTGCAGCCAGCAGCAACAGCCTGGTTGATCAGGCTCTGATCCACCAGGAGGCCTGGTCCCAGACCGGGCCGCGGAGGCGTTGACCCCCGGAACTCTCTCCAGGTAAACTCCAGGTAGTCTTTCAAGTGGATAGGTAGCGTTTCTGTTGGACAGATAGTCTTTCTGTTGGACAAGTAGCCTTTCTGTTGGACAAGTAATCTTTCTGTTGGACAGGTAGTCTTTCTGTTGAGCAAATAGCCTTTCTGTTGGACAGGTAGCCTTTCTGTTGGACAAGTAGCCTTTCTGTTGAACAGGAAGCCTTTCTGTTGGACAGGTAGCCTTTCTGTTGGACAGGTAGCCTTTCTGTTGAACAGGTAGCCTTTCTGTTGGACATGTAGCCTTTCTGTTGGACATATAGCCTTTCTATTGGACAAGTAGCCTTTCTATTGAACAGGTAACCTTTCTGTTGAACAGGTAGCCTTTCTGTTGGACAGGTAGCCTTTCTGTTGGACAGGGAGCCTTTCTGTTATACATGTAACCTTTCTGTTGGACATATAGCCTTTCTGTTGGACAGGTAGCCTTTCTGTTGGACATGTAGCCTTAAACTCTGGCAAAGTCACTGATGATTACTTGTTGGTAAGCGATATCACAGGCAGTCTGGAGGTCAAGTAAGATAAGGTAAGACGGTATAGATGCATGGAACTATGTGTCTAGCAGTGAAAATAAATCACTTCCCATCAATAACACATTACGACTGTAAACAAGATATATACATGTGGATTATTCATTACGTTTGTAACTTGTTCAGCTATCAAAACTTTGTGATACAGTCCCTGGGCCCATTATGTACCTCTGTAATGTTGAGGTACAGTCCCTGGATTCATTGTGTACCTCTGTAATGTAGAGGTACAGTCCCTGGATCCATTATGTACCTCTGTAATGTTGGGTTACAGCTCCTGGACCCATTATGTACCTCTGTACTTTTCTGACTACCACCCACAGTATACTTATGGTGTATATCTGGAGGTATACCTCAGGTTATAGCTGAAGGTATACGGTGACATCATACCTGAAGGTATACCTGGAGGTATACCTGGAGGTATACCTGGAGGTATACCTGGAGGGTGCATAATGAAGATAATTAACTAAAGAATCTGTCCATGATTTAGGCAGGTCCCTGGTTACAAGGGTCATGTTGTACAGGTCAGGAAAAGTATTTCCTGGTACTTGATAGAGCAATGTGAATATATTGTATCGTCCTTCCCAGGGAAGCGAATTTGTGCCTAGCCCAGAACTGAGTTTAAATTAACTGAGAGGGGTATTGCAATCAATTTCCTTGGACATTTAATTTCGTTTGGACACATCACCACAATGTATGGTTCATTATAACTTTCTAGGGTGGTTATTTTGTACTGGTTTTATAATGTACTGTGTATAATACTTGGAGTGGGTTATATTTTTAGCAGGTGTTGTTGTTAGTAGCGTGAAGATGGTGTGTGGGTCGTGGTGTGTTGTGGTGAGGTGGGTGATGGTGATGACACTGCTTCTGGTCCTCTACCAACACCTGGTCACTGCACACGTGTCATCAGAAACCTTCAGGAAGGTGAGTGTGAGGGATATGTTCCTCTAGCAACACCTGGTCACTGCACACGTGTCATCAGAAACCTTCAGGAAGGTGAGTGTGAGAGATGTGTTCCTCTAGCAACACTTGGTCACTGCACACGTGTCATCAGAAACCTTCAGGAAGGTGAGTGTGAGAGATGTGTTCCTCTAACAACACCTGGTCACTGCACACGTGTCATCACGTGATTAGGAAAGTAAATATAACGCAATCCTCAATGACTTAAAACAGCTATACACAATTTACTCACAAACTAGGAATAAACCGAGACACTGCCGGCTATCTTCCCTCCAAGAATCGGATGCTGTCGAAGAACTCTTGATCTACGGAAAGGTAAATACCATCTCCTTTAATCAAACCTAATTACCACGAACTTTACACTTCTAACAGGCTTGCAATACCAGAGTGTATTCTGATCCCTTAGTAACAGTCAATAGCAATCAAACGAGAAATCAGACACATTACTTGAGGGAGGTTTGATTTGTGTATATTCCTTCACAAGTCACCAAGTATATATATATATATATATTTACATAAGTAAGATACACGTGTAATAGCTAGGTATCTTTGTTGAGAAATGTTTTGCCTATATGTAGGTTTTTTTAGTCGAATACAGAGGAGACAGCGGAAGCAGTGATGTAAGGACGATGTAATCAGTCCATCACCCTTAAAGAAGCGTTATGTACCTTTGTAATCTTTTGACTGCCGCCCACGGGATGGGATGGGGTACATAAAAAGATATTAAACTAACTAACCTTGAAGAAGTAGTTTTAAGAAGGTCAGTGCCCTCAGCCTGAAGTGATTACTCAGACATAAGGAACCAAGAGAGGTAGCAGACATGATTGTGAGCCAGCTGGAGGCTTGAGAGAATCTGACTGGATATAATGTTCTACAACTGGGATAACTAATCCAACTAGTCAACTCTTCTGTGAGTTTAGTTAGTTTAATATCTTTATCAAGCACTCCGGCCATACCTGAGAGGTCAGAATGCCACAGCACCAGCAAAAGCAGTTCATCTAGAGTCGGCTATTCCCCCTTAGATGGCTCTAACTACCATGCTCACGACTGGCAAAGATTACTTAATGCAGGATCATTTTCAGCACTGCATGCGAGCACTGAGTCAATACTTACTTGCAAGGATCATTGAGCACCTGCTGTGCACTCAACACACGCAATAACCTCCAATTCCCAGGGTTTAGCGTCTCCTCTGTATAAGAATCTTCTCTGGCAGAATTCCTGCTGTAACTGAGAGGAAGGACCGTCATAACAAATCACTTTCCTGTAAAAAAAGTTGCTTCCACTCTCTTGTTTAGTTAGTTGTTTTTCATAGGAAGTTGATAATTAAAAGGAAAAACAAGAGGAGGGGAAAAACTGTGTTGATAAGCATAGTACAGAGTATACCTGAGAAGGTCTCGAGGGTCAACGCCCCCGCGTCCCGGTCTGTGACCAAGAAGGAAATGAATGTTAGGGGGACATTGTGAAGGTTTCTGTATAGTTAGTGTGTGTACGACTCTGTGTAGAGCTGTGCCATGTATAGTTAGTGTGTGTACGACTCTGTGTAGAGCTGTGCCATGTATAGTTAGTGTGTGTACGACTCTGTGTAGAGCTGTGCCATGTATAGTTAGTGTGTGTACGACTCTGTGTAGAGCTGTGCCATGCACAGTTAGTGTGTATGACTCTGTGTAGAGCTGTGCCATGTATAGTTAGTGTGTGTATGACTCTGTGTAGAGCTGTGCCATGCATAGTTAGTGTGTGTACGACTCTGTGTAGAGCTGTGCCATGTATAGTTAGTGTGTGTATGACTCTGTGTAGAGCTGTGCCATGCACAGTTAGTGTGTATGACTCTGTGTAGAGCTGTGCCATGCATATTTAGTGTGTATGACTCTGTGTAGAGCTGTGCCATGTATAGTTAGTGTTTGTACATCTCTGTGTAGAGCTGTGCCATGTATAGTTAGTGTGTGTACGACTCTGTGTAGAGCTGTGCCATGCATAGTTAGTGTGTACGACTCTGTGTAGAGCTGTGCCATGCATAGTTAGTGTGTATGACTCTGTGTAGAGCTGTGCCATGCATAGTTAGTGTGTGTATGACTCTGTGTAGAGCTGTGCCATGTATAGTTAGTGTTGTACAACTCTGTGTAGAGCTGTGCTATGTATAGTTAGTGTGTGTACGACTCTGTGTAGAGCTGTACCATTGTTATGATTGTCTGACTCTGTGTAGCTGTGACTCAATCTTGAATTAGCTCTGAACATACATGAAGTTAAGTTAATCTACTGTCCATGCTAGGCGTCTGAGTCAGTGACACCTGTGTAGGCTGGCCATGCCCATGCTAGCTGGTCATGACCATGCTAGCTGGCCTCCATGACTATGCTAGGACTAGTGTAACTGTCCATGCTAGTGGTCCAGTGACCACCTGTAGGCTGGTCCATGTGACATGCTAGGTCTGGTCAGTGAGCCCATGCTAGGTGGTCACCGTGAACCCATGCTAGGCTGGTCACGTGACCCATGCTAGGCTAGTGACTACTGGTCATGCTAGGCTGGTCCATGACCCATGCTAGCTGGTCCAGTGACCCATGCTAGCTAGTGCACTGTCCATGCTTAGGTGTCAATGACCATGCTAGGCTGGTCCAGTGATCCCATGCTAGTGCTGATCCTGTGGACCCATGCTAAGTAGTAGTGCTACTAGTCCATGCTAGGCTGGTCCAGTGACCCATGCTAGGCTAGTGCTACTGGTCCATGCTAGGCTGATGCTACTGATCCATGCTAGGCTAGTGTTACTGGCTCATACTAGGCTAGTGCTACTGATCCATACTAGACTGTGTGTCACTGGTCCTATGCTAGGTGGTGCTATTGTGCCATGCTAAAGGTTTACTGACCTTAGCTAGGCATGTATCTTACTGACCCTACTAGACAGGTCTTACTGACACCATGCTAGACAGGTCATTATAGCCTATACGACAGTGTTTAACTGACCCATGACTAGTACTAGGTCTTACGACCTATGCTAGAGGTCTACTGACCATACTAGACAGGTCTTACTGACTATGCTAGACAGGTCTTACTGACCCATACTAGACAGGTCTTACTGACCTATGCTAGACAGGTCTTACTGACCCATACTAGACAGGTCTTACTGACCTATGCTAGACAGGTCTTACTGACCTATGCTAGGCAGGTCTTACTGACCCATGCTAGACAGGTCATACTGACCCATGCTAGGCAGGTCTTACTGACCCATACTAGACAGGTCTTACTGACCTATGCTAGACAGGTCTTACTGGCCCATGCTAGGCAGGTCCTACTCAAATCTAACCATTCCCAAATCACCCTTGAAGACTTTCCCAAGCAACTTGTTTGGTTCGACCCCCACATTTCTTCTCATTTTCCTACGACCACCTTCCAACATATATCATAAACAACAGCTAACATTGTATTTTAACCTACTGAGCGAGAATATTGATGGGAAATTGATCCATTGACCGTCGCGGAGGAGAGAGATATTACCACATGTATCACGGGGTCTCAAAGAGCAAATTCTGAAGAACCGGAGCCGATGATGGACGAGGAATGACCAGTGAATGAACTAAAAGACAAAATAACAGTGTGAATGTCCATCATTCAACACCGTGTGTTGCCAGTGTGATTAACAGTCTTATTGATCTCGGGCTTATGAAGGTCATTAGTGGCGTCAGTAGCCAGAAGACGTTTCGCTCTGGATAGAGCTTTGTCGGATCCATGTTTCTCTCTCTTCCCTCCACTCTCCCGTTTAAAGCTTTTGCGTGAGTTGATAAAGCTCTAGACAGCGAAACATGACTTGCTAAAGCTCCATAAAGAACTCTACACAAATAAATATGACTTTATAAAGCTCTTCCCAGTGAGAAACATAATTTAATAAAGGTTTACATAGAGTTAGACATGACTTGATCCCCTATGTTGATGCGTTGGTTACTAGTTGAGCTTTCGACTCACAAATGAGAGGATTTAGGTTCGACTCCCGGCAGGGCTAGACGCATGGGTAAGTCACCTTACACCTGCTACCCATGTTCAACTAGTAACAGGTACCACGGTGTTAGGAATCTGGTGTGGGTGGCATCCTGGGGAGCAGGAACTGAGGAGTATAATGGAAATAAGCCACACTGGGTTATCCTGGGTTGATATCAGATTACGATTGAAACATCTCGTAGTTTCTACGGTTTATGGGTTAATTGCAGCCAGAATATTGTGAGTTTTATTATGGTTTACCATGAGGCCTGGTCTCAGACCGAGCCGCGGGGGTGTTGACCTCGGGAACCCTCTCCAGGTAAACTCAGGGTAAACTCCAGGTATTTTCTCCTTTACAGTTCACAATCAACAGTTCCTTGGCTGCTCTGCAGAGATGTCCAGCCTTGTCTGTCCTGGAAATTCCTGGATATGCTCAGTTACCCAGAGTATTCTGCAGCCATCTATGCTCCTTGAATTCAGCATGCAGGTTCTTCTCTCTTGAAGGTACTTGCCTATTTTGGTTAATATCTAAGTATTCGTAGCTGCAGGAGTAGACTTATACTTGTGGTATACCCGTATACCACGTGCTGTCTTTGTAGCATTTGCAACCCCAACTTGCAATCCAACTTCTTTGTCAACTATGCTGACTATGTATCTGCAACTCATCCTGTGAGGAGTAACTAAACAATAACAGGATTACAGAGGTCACAATGGATCTTTATCAGGTGTCTACTCGACATTGTTACATCAAGTATGTTTTAAAACTATTTTCACATAAGAGTAAGTAATAAGTTTATTCAGGTATACACAATACAGTTACAAGAATTATTACCACATATTTAAAACCTGGAAGTAGTGATTATTCCATTGTTAATGAACATGATACAATATGGAGTTGCACTCTCAAAAACATTATTGGGTTGCAGTTTATTATTACAATCAAAACTAAACATTAAACTAGCATTTAGTGTCTTCAGACAACAGTTTATTCACTTTATAGAAGCAAAAATGTGGAGACGACCTCAGTATTGCAGATATCTTATCTCCAAGATACGATACTACGTGCCGCAAACTGCCCTTCTCACACTATACCATTCACTTATATATCCATACCTCACCTATGCTATTTGTGCTTGGGGATCAACTGCAGCAACACACCTAAAGCCAATAATAACCCAACAAAAAGCCGCAGTAAGAATAATCACTAAATTCCATCCCTGGCAACACCCCCCCCCCCCACTCTTCATAGATCTAAACTTACTCCCATGTTCAGTACATCCACACTTACTACTGTGCAATCTATATCTACAGGACCTTAAACTCCAATATTAACCTTGACCTAAAATGCTTTCTTGATAGTTGTGACAGGATCCACAGGCATAACACCAGACACAAACATCTCTACGACATTCCCCGTGTTCGACTAAACCTTTACAAAAATTCAATGTATTTCAAAGGACCTAAAATCTGGAAACCCTACCTGAAAACTCTAGAACTGCAGACACATTCATCACTTCAAAACTACAGTTAGAAAACATCTTATCTCCCTGATCCACCCTGACAACTAACTACATGATAACCACCTGGTGGTTCAAAATTACACTCACTCACCCACTGACTATAAACCCAGAAATACTAATCTTAATCTTAAAATAATAAATCCTAACTAGTCATAAGTTTGCCTATGATACTCCAATATAGACACCTTGTATTGTGCCAAAAAAAAGCATTCACATTACTAAACTCACAAATTATGATGTAGTCACTTAGCCTTAATACCATAATCTGTAAGGATTTAATGTTAAGAATTAATCTAAGTCTGCTCGAAATGCCTAGCCATGCTAGGTGTCCTAGTGGCCCCCTCTGTAATTAGTATTTTATAACATATAAACCACATAATACCCAAAACCTGTAAACCCCACATTGTAACCCTTATAGAGAATAAACTTGAATTGAATTGAATTGTCTTTGAAAGGTTAAGACACAGTGGTCATTGCTGGACTGACACACATCCTTTTTGTATTCTTGTGGATCTTTCCCACCTCCAGAACTCAGATATATTTTTATCAAAATAATCTAGTTTTCAGTTTGTTATAGTTGTGTTCTTGTACAAAATGTTCTATACAGGAGGAAACTGCCTGCTTCAGACGCTGAAGTTGACCCCGGGGTACGACGCGGTCAGTGTGATCTCTGGACTAGACTCCTATACGGTACCCAGCACTGAGTACGACCTGGCCTTCCTCAAGCCTATACAAGCAGGCAGTACCTGGAACGGCTACCCCAACCCACCCTCTGTGGTAGGCACAAACACAGTGAACTTATATGCCATGTTCATTATGCCTTAGTTTTTGATAGATATACTGACCTTCCGGATCCGAACTTGTGGTAGTTGTCACCTGAGGAGGTAGTATATAATGCACCAGCAGTTTACGCTGTGAGTGGTAACTCAAAAAACAGTATTAGAGGTGACAATGGTCTTTCTCAGACACCACTGATCATTCTTCATCACTAGAAAGAAAAACTAGTCATTCCATATTTTACAATGTCTTCATATAGTTGTTGTACACAAAACAAAAGGCATTCAGTCTGAAAAGAATCGATAGGTTTATTTAGGTACAGGTGGACAAACTTAATTACCGTGCAGACTGCCCATCCTTCGTAGAATACGAAACAGAGGTCACTTATTGTAAGAGAGAGTCACAAGGTCTATGTGACCCATACTAGACTTGTGGTCCAGGTGAACACAAAGAATTACTAGGAGAGTAAAGTTTCACAGTGTCGGAGTAAGTTTTTAAGGGCCGTAAGAGGCAGGTCTCACACTGACTGAAGATCAAGAGAGCTTCAGCCATAACTGGTAACCAGAAGTTTTTATACAATAAAAATCAAAATTATCCAATAACGTGAGTGTTTACTTGTTTATAAGAGACTTGAAGGGCGAAGTGAGGTGAGGTGAGGAACGCAGTGCCTGGTCATGACCAGGTCAAGGCAATGGTGGACCTACATTTCTGGTGCCCTGAAACTTGAACTGTTATGGGATTCCTGTTACTGCTATTGCTACTACTACTACAACTACTGTTACTACTACTACTGATATTCTTACTATTACTACACATTACAGGTTAACGGAGACATGTGCTGGACTAAGTCGACTCAGTGTTCATGTACAGACTACAACAAACAGTGGATTACTGTCGACCTCTTGACCAGCGTCAACCTGACCAGGATCGTCGTTACAAGCTCATTCGACGTCGACCAGGAATATTATGCTAAAACCGACATACATGTGGGTTAATGTGGACTCTATACCCTTGTTAGGGTGGTGTTGTCAAGCCGGGAAGGCTGGACTTAGGAAACTGGAGATGTTCGTCCTGCTGGGGGTTGTGTTCGAGGGAAGGTCTGGGTGATACAGGTTGTTTTTTCAGATTGTGTGTGATGGCTGGGGATTTAGTGAATGTGTGGGAATGTTATATATATACTGTCTCTCTATATATCTGTCTGGTTGTATGTCTGCCTGCGTCTGTTTGTCTATATGTTGTCTGTCTCTCTCTGCCTCTATCCCTCTGTATCTATTACATACATAGAACACTTAACGCTGATATTAACCCTCCCCTCAAACATCTCCTTGCCAACCTCAACAGAACACATGACCATAACACAAGGCACAGATCACTCTTTGATGTTCCTCGTGTCCATCTCACAATATGCAAAAACTCAATGCACATAAAAGGCCCTAAAATCTGGAATTCATTACCTGTAAATATAAAAGAAACACTACCTGTTTATAAATTCAAGTCTCTACTCAAAGATCACTTACTCACCCAAAACCAAATAAATACTGAATAACTGAACCTTATAAATTGTATATCTTAAATGTTTCTCACAATTATATCACATAAATGTTAAACCTAAAACCGAATCTAACTTTATTATTTTTTAAATACACTACCTAACAGAATCCTTCATATGACTGAATGTACAACAATGCATGCAACCATATGACCTGTCTTTGTAATACACACTTGTGCTTTATAGTTATCTGTTTACAATAATGTTTTATCACTGATTTCATCATTGCTTAGTTAATCTTAAGTTAATTTTAAGCCAGCCCGTAATGCTATGCATAGTATAAGTGGCTTTGGCATGCTGCTCTTATCTGTATTTTTTTGTACCTCTGTATGTGTGCTCAAATTTATAATAAATAAATAAATAAATAAATAAATAAATCTATCCTCCTCTATCTGTTTCTTTCTGTTTCTGTCTGTCTGTGTCTGTCTATCTCTGTTTCTATTTCTGTCTCTTTGTGTCTGTCTTTGTATCTGTCTGTCTTTCTCCCTGCTGGTACAGACAAGGTAAGTACTGCTCCACACTGGTTTTAATTACTCTTCTGTCCACTGGAATACCGATTACTTCAACAAAGGTCATTTTAGTATTCTGAACACGAGGGACCTGACATCTAGGCACCCTCTCCGTTCCTCCATGCTGTGTACTCACCAACCTGCCTTTACGGGGGTTGAGACTCAGTTCTTGGCTCGTAATTCCCAATCCAGCAAATATCTCATACTCCTTGGCCTCTCAGGTCATGTCATACCTACTCTTGAACCCATGTATGCAGCTTACCACTACTACCTTCCCTAGTGGAGTACGTCTAAGTACAATGTAATATTTTACAGGTAGGGAACACAGGTTCCTATACTACGGACGCCATTGTGGCCAGTAAGGACGGTACCTCACCATCCATGCCTCTGGAAACCTTCACTTACAATGGTCAGTCTCCTGTAGTGATTTTTAGTGTTTTGTAGTGTCTTACTACCAGTAAATAGGTACCCATTTACTAGCAGTACACAGGTACTTATTTACTAGTGGTACTAGTGTAAAATATGGAATGACTAGTTTTTCTTTCTAGTGATGAAGAATGATCAGTGGTGTCTGAGAAAGACACATTGTCACCTCTAATACTGTTTTTTGAGTTACCACTCACAGCGTAAACTGCTGGTGCATTATATACTACCTCCTCAGGTGACAAGCTGGCACTGGACAAGCACCTAAAGTCAGTTCCGGATCAGCCGGGCTGTGGCTCGTATGTTGGTTTGCGTGCAGCCAGCAGCAACAGCCTGGTTGATCAGGCTCTGATCCACCAGGAGGCCTGGTCTCAGACCGGGCCGCGGGGGCGTTGACCCCCGGAACTCTCTCCAGGTAAACTCCAGGTAAACACATTTGCTTAGCGGTACATACGTACATGGAGTATACCTGGAGGGGGGTTCGGGGGTCAACGCCCCCGCGGCCCGGTCCATGACCTGATCTCAGACTGGGCCGCGGGGGCGTTCATCCTCGAAACCCATCCACGTAAACTCCAGGTAATGACCAGGCCTCGTGGTGGATCAGGACCTGATAACCCAGGATGAGACTGCTGGACGCACCCAAACCAACTTAGGAACCACAGCCTGGTTGGTCAGGTACTGACTTTAGGTGTCTGTGAAGCTTCCTCTTGTTGACAGCCAGGGGTCTATTGGTAATCCCCTTTATGTGTGCTGTAAGGTAGTTGAACAGTCTTGGGCCCCTTACGCTTATTGAGTTGTCTCTTAGCGTACTCATGGCGATAAGAGAGTCCTATTTACCATCAGTAAATAGGTACCTGGATATTAGCTGATAGTTGTAGGTTACAAGCTAGGGATGCACCTGAATAAGACCCCTTACGAAAGAAATAACGAGGGTGATTGTAGACCAGAGTGCAAAACGTTTAACAAGCTTCTGTTTATGACTGTTGAGTATGACTGGTGGTACATGTCTACGATTGTGTTATGAATTTATTTATTTATATATGTATTTTTAACTGGAATTTCGTGTTTATTTCAGTTGCTGTTAAAGGTCGGTATGTCACCTTACACAGAACAGATAACACAGCTCTCTGTCTGTGTAGCCTTCAAGTGTTCTCAGACTGACAGCATCACCTCTCTCTCTCGGCAGCCCTGCAGGTGCTGTCAGGCTGACAGCATTACCTCTGTGTAATTTACGATTGTTCTCAAGCTGACAGCTTCACCTGTCTGCAATTTACGAGTGTTCTTAAGCTGACAGCATCACTATGTGTAATTCACGATTGTTCTCAAGCTGACAGCATCACCTCTAATTTACTAGTGTTATTAAGCTGACAGCATCACCTGTCTCCCAATTCAAGCTGTCACCTCCAGTTAGTTTCTATAGAGCGTAAAAAGCTTACCTAGCGAAATTTTCTCAGCTTTCAATCCTATAATAAAGGTTTCATTCCTATAATAAAGATTCCAACCCTAAAATAAAGGTTTCAATCCTACAATAAAGGTTTCAATTCTACAATAAAGGCTTCAACTCTACACCTCTACAATAGTTTCAATTCTACACTAAAGGTTTCAATCCTACTACAAAAGATTCAATCCTTCTACAAAGATTTCAGTCCTACAATAAAGGTTTCAATCCTACTACAAAGGTTTCAATCCTACAATGAAGGTTTTAATCCTACAACAAAGGTTTCAATCCTACAATGAGGGTTTCAATTCTACAACAAAGGTTTCAGTCCTACAACAAAGGTTTCAATCCTACAATTTATTTATTTATTTATTTATTTATTTATTTATTTATTTATTATAAATTTGTGCACACATACAGAGGTACAAAAAAATACAGATAAGAGCAGTATGCCAAAGCCACTTATACTATGCATAGCATTACGGGCTGGCTTAAAATTAACTTAAGATTAACTAAGCAATGATGAAGTCAGTGATAAAACATTAATGTAAACAGATTACTATAAAGCACAAGTGAGTATTACAAAGACAGGTCATATGAGGGATTCTGTTAGGTAGTGTATTTAAAAAAATAATAAAGTTAGATTGGGTTTTAGGTTTAACATTTATGTGATATAATTGTGAGAAACATTTAAGATATACAATTTATAAGGTTCAGTTATTCAGTATTTATTTGGTTTTGGGTGAGTAAGTGATCTTTGAGTAGAGACTTGAATTTATAAACAGGTAGTGTTTCTTTTATATTTACAGGTAATGAATTCCAGATTTTAGGGCCTTTTATGTGCATTGAGTTTTTGCATAGTGTGAGATGAACACGAGGAACATCAAAGAGTGATCTGTGCCTTGTGTTATGGTCATGTGTTCTGTTGAGGTTGGCAAGGAGATGTTTGAGGGGAGGGTTAATATCAGAGTTAAGTGTTCTATGTATGTAATAGGTGCAGTAATAAGTATGGATGTTTTGTATGGTGAGTAGGTTTAGTGTATTGAATATTGGTGGAGTGTGCTGCCTGTAGTGAGAATTTGTTATCATTCTAACTGCAGCCTTTTGTTGGGTAATTAGTGGTCTGAGATGGTTAACTGTTGTTGAGCCCCATGCACAAATTCCATAGGTGAGATAGGGGTAAATAAGAGAGTGATATAGGGCCAGGAGGGCTGACTGTGGAACATAGTACCGTATCTTCGATAGTATGCCTACAGTCTTGGAAATTTTCTTAGAAATTTGTTGTATATGTGTATGAAATTTGAGTCTATTAAGGTCTATAAAGGTTTCAATCCTACAATAAAGGTTTCAGTCCTACAATAAAGGTTTCAATCCTTCAAAAAAAATATTTTGATTGATCGAGTGCCATTAAGGCTGTAATTCACATGATATTAAGCATATTTTGACCCTAAGTAGAGGAATTAAACTTTCGGTGTATATCCCCTGAGAGACAGATCTTGGTATATATACACAGAGGTATACACTTCAGTGTATATACACACAGGTATACACTTCAGTGTATATACACACAGGTATACACTTCAGTGTATATACACACAGGTATACACTTCAGTGTATATACACACAGGTATACACTTCAGTGTATATACACACAGGTATACACTTCAGTGTATATACACACAGGTATACACTTCAGTGTATATACACACAGGTATACACTTCAGTGTATATACACATAGGTATACACTTCAGTGTATATACACACAGGTATACACTTCAGTGTATATACACATAGGTATACACTTCAGTGTATATACACACAGGTATACACTTCAGTGTATATACACACAGGTATACACTTCAGTGTATATACACATAGGTATACACTTCAGTGTATATACACACAGGTATACACTTCAGTGTATATACACATAGGTATACACTTCAGTGTATATACACACAGGTATACACTTCAGTGTATATACACATAGGTATACACTTCAGTGTATATACACACAGGTATACACTTCAGTGTATATACACACAGGTATACACTTCAGTGTATATACACATAGGTATACACTTCAGTGTATATACACACAGGTATACACTTCAGTGTATATGCACAGAGGTATATACTTCAGTGTATATACACAGAGGTATACACTTCAGTGTATATACACAGATAACGGCTGCAGTATATGGGCGCCTGGCAAACCTAAGAATAGCGTTCCGATACCTCAGTAAGCCTGGTGGCTAAAGCTCCCGCTTCACACACGGAGGGCCCGGGTTCGATTCCCGGCGGGTGGAAACATTTCGACACGTTTCCTTACACCTGTTGTCCTGTTCACCTAGCAGCAAATAGGTACCTGGGTGTTAGTCGACTGGTGTGGGTCGCATCCTGGGGGACAAGATTAAGGACCCCAATGGAAATAAGTTAGACAGTCCTCGATGACGCACTGACTTTCTTGGGTTATCCTGGGTGGCTAACCCCCCGGGGTTAAAAATCCGAACGAAATCTTATCTTATCTTATCTGTACACCGTGTACGTCATGCCCATACTGGAGTATGCAGCACCAGTTTGGAACCCACACCTGATCAAGCACGTTAAGAAATTAGAGAAAGTGCAAAGATTTGCGTTCCAGAGCTAAGGAAAATGTCCTACGAAGAAAGGTTGAGGGAAATCGGCCTGACGACACTGGAGGACAGGAAGGTCAGGGAGATATGATAACGACATACAAAATACTGCGTGGAATAGACAAGGTGGACAGAGACAGGATGTTCCAGAGATGGGACACAGAAACAAGGGGACACTCTTGGAAGTTGAAGACTCAGATGAGTCAGAGGGATGTTAGGAAGTATTTCTTCAGTCATAGAGTTGTCAGGAAGTGGAATAGTCAGGCAAGTGATGTAGTTTACCTGGAGTTTACCTGGAGAGAGTTCCGGGGGTCAACGCCCCCGCGGCCCGGTCTGTGACCAGGCCTCCTGGTGGATCAGAGCCTGATCAACCAGGCTGTTGCTGCTGGCTGCACGCAAACCAACGTATGAGCCACAGCCCGGCTGGTCAGGAACCGACTTTAGGTGCTTGTCCAGCGCCAGCTTGAAGACTGCCAGGGGTCTGTTGGTAATCCCCCTTATGTATGCTGGGAGGCAGTTGAACAGTCTCGGGCCCCTGACACTTATTGTATGGTCTCTTAACGTGCTAGTGACACCCCTGCTTTTCATTGGGGGAATGTTGCATCGTCTGCCAAGTCTTTTGCTTTCGTAGTGAGTGATTTTCGTGTGCAAGTTCGGTACTAGTCCCTCTAGGATTTTCCAGGTGTATATAATCATGTATCTCTCCCGCCTGCGTTCCAGGGAATACAGGTTCAGGAACCTCAAACCCCCCAGTAATTGAGGTGTTTTATCTCCGTTATGCGCGCCGTGAAGGTTCTCTGTACATTTTCTAGGTCAGCAATTTCACCTGCCTTGAAAGGTGCTGTTAGTGTGCAGCAATATTCCAGCCTAGATAGAACAAGTGACCTGAAGAGTGTCATCATGGACTTGGCCTCCCTAGTTTTGAAGGTTCTCATTATCCATCCTGTCATTTTTCTAGCAGATGCGATTGATACAATGTTATGGTCCTTGAAGGTGAGATCCTCCGACATGATCACTCCCAGGTCTTTGACGTTGGTGTTTCGCTCTATTTTGTGGCCAGAATTTGTTTTGTACTCTGATGAAGATTTAATTTCCTCATGTTTACCATATCTGAGTAATTGAAATTTTCTCATCGTTGAACTTCATATTGTTTTCTGCAGCCCACTGAAAGATTTGGTTGATGTCCGCCTGGAGCCTTGCAGTGTCTGCAATGGAAGACACTGTCATGCAGATTCGGGTGTCATCTGCAAAGGAAGACACGGTGCTGTGGCTGACATCCTTGTCTATGTCGGATATGAGGATGAGGAACAAGATGGGAGCGAGTACTGTGCCTTGTGGAACAGAGCTTTTCACCGTAGCTGCCTCGGACTTTACTCTGTTGACGACTACTCTCTGTGTTCTGTTAGTGAGGAAATTATAGATCCATCGACCGACTTTTCCTGTTATCCCTTTAGCACGCATTTTGTGCGCTATTACGCCATGGTCACACTTGTCGAAGGCTTTTGCAAAGTCTGTATATATTACATCTGCATTCTTTTTATCTTCTAGTGCATTTAGGACCTTGTCGTAGTGATCCAATAGTTGAGACAGACAGGAGCGACCTGTTCTAAACCCATGTTGCCCTGGGTTGTGTAACTGATGGGTTTCTAGATGGGTGGTGATCTTGCTTCTTAAGACCCTTTCAAAGATTTTTATGATGTGGGATGTTAGTGCTATCGGTCTGTAGTTCTTTGCTGTTGCTAGTTATAATAACTGCTAGTTATAATGACTACTGTTAGTTATAATAACAACTGCGAGTTATAATAACTACAAGTTATAATAACTGCTAGTTATAATAACTACTGCTAGTTATAATAACTGCTAGTTATAATAACTACTGTTAGTTATAATAACAACTGCTAGTTATAATAACTACAAGTTATAATAACTGCTAGTTATAAATAACTACTGCTAGTTATAATAACTGCTAGTTATAATAACTACTGTTAGTTATAATAACAACTGCTAGTTATAATAACTACAAGTTATAATAACTGCTAGTTATAATAACTGCTAGTTATAATAACAACTACAAGTTATAATAACTGCTAGTTATAATAACTACTGTTAGTTATAATAACTGCTAGTTATAATAACTACTGTTAGTTATAATAACAACTACAAGTTATAATAACTGCTAGTTATAATAACAACTACAAGTTATAATAACTGCTAGTTATAATAACTGCTAGTTATAATAACAACTACAAGTTATAATAACTGCTAGTTATAATAACTACTGCTAGTTATAATAACTACTGCTAGTTATAATAACAACTGCTAGTTATAATAACTGCTAGTTATAATAACAACTGCTAGTTATAACAACTGCTAGTTATAATAACTGCTAGTTATAATAACTCCAAGTTATAATAACTGCTAGTTATAATAACAACTGCTAGTTATAATAACTACTGCTAGTTATAATAACAACTACAAGTTATAATAACTGCTAGTTATAATAACAACTGCTAGTTATAACAACTGCTAGTTATAATAACTGCTAGATATAATAACTCCAAGTTATAATAACTGCTAGTTATAATAACAACTACAAGTTATAATAACTGCTAGTTATAATAACAACTGCTAGTTATAATAACTGCTAGTTATAATAACTGCTAGTTATAATAACAACTGCTAGTTATAATAACTGCTAGTTATAATAACAACTGCTAGTTATAATAACTGCTAGTTATAATAACAACTGCTAGTTATAATAACTGCTAGTTATAATAACAACTGCTAGTTATAATAACAACTGCTAGTTATAATAACAACTACAAGTTATAATAACTGCTAGTTATAATAACAACTGGTAGTTATAATAACAACTGCTAGTTATAATAACAACTGCTAGTTATAATAACAACTGCTAGTTATAATAACAACTGCTAGTTATAATAACAACTACAAGTTATAATAACAACTGCTAGTTATAATAACAACTACAAGTTATAATAACAACTGCTAGTTATAATAACAACTACAAGTTATAATAACAACTGCTAGTTATAATAACAACTACAAGTTATAATAACAACTGCTAGTTATAATAACTGCTAGTTATAATAACAACTGCTATAAGTAAAATCAATTGTGGTTTTACAAACATTTATAGAATAATATGAATTATATTGCAAAAATAATAATTTATTTAAGTAATAGAAATTTTAATAAAGAATAAATTAAAAAAATATTTTCCTTCAAAATGGATAATCATCTTTACAAATTTAATAATATTATTAATTTTATTTTACATTTAATAGGTTTTACTGATAGTTAAAATCTTTGCCATTGAAAATTACATTAACTGGTTAAAATGTTTATTAATGAATTAATATTATTATTATTATTTATTTTTTTTGTGAAAGCTGTTTGCAGTATTATTTTATTATTAATGAAAATAAAAATAATTTGGGTTTTATTTATTACTTTTTGTATATTTTGAATTTTATGTATAGAAAATATGGCATAATATTGCAAATTAATGATGTATTTAAGAACAAAATTGTTATTGTATATTTTTAATTTTAGACAAAATAAAAATGACTGAGTTTTATTAATTATTTTCCTTATATTTTGTTTATTTATACACTAATAATTATAATTAAAATTGCAAATTCATGGGATATTTTCAATGTCTAAAATTTTCCTAAAATGATTATTTATATATAGAATAAACATGATTGAACTTTATTTATTATTTTATTTGTGTGTTTTATATTTATATATTAATAATAACATTTAAAACTTCAAATTAATGGAGTATTTTAAAAGTTTTCAAAAATCCAAAATTTTTATTTTTAGAGATAATAAACAAGATTGAATTTTATTAATTATATTATTTATAAACTACATATTTATACATAAATAATAACAAAAAAAATCCCAATTTAATGGAGTATTTTAAAAGTTGTAATATTGTATATAAGAATGCATTGTTGTGTATCAAACAATTGAACAACAACAACAACAACAACAACAAGAGGAGTGGTTGTCTGGAGCTCCATTATGGTGTTTTCTGGCCTGCTGGTGCCATTATAATGGCTTTAACAACCCTCCTGGTGCCATTATAATGGCTCTTAGACCCGATATAACCCTACATGTTGGTCAGGTTGTAAATTATTGCTTCATATGAGAGAGGTGAGAGACGCCACAGCGACACCTTACTCATTTTAATTCTGTTTTTGTCCTCTTTGTGTCATTTATTACTATTTATGCATAGAATTATAGCGATAATGTGTATAATTTAGATGATTGTGGTAGAATAAATGTATATATATTGTCTCTCCCAGACGCCGGGTACATATGGAGTTTTTTTCGAAATATAAATATTTTAATATATTTCCTACTATGGGTATTTTTTTTGTTGAGGCTCCTGAAGGCTTTTGATGCGAGGTATTTGAGCTACTTCTCTGGATTAAGCTCTACTCTACCTCCCCCCGAACACTGTATGGCCTTGAGTTTGGGGCTTTATAGTATTTGGACTGTGGTAACTGTTTCCTGGTATTTAGGTTGTCCAGGGATAATTATCCTGTTTTTTATTGGTTTGCTTCCCCCGGAGCCCCAGTGGGAATGTGTTCGACTTAATTGTGTTAGGTTAAAATCAACGATGTTATTGAATTATCCAAGTGATGGGTTATAACCTGTAAATATAATATGCTATTATCCAGGTGACAGGGTTATTATCCTGTTTTAATTATTCAAGTTATCCAGAGACAGGGTTATACTGTTTAATATAATTATGATTATCAGGTGACAGGGTTAATTCATCCTGTTTAAATTAATTAATTATCCATGTGATGGGTTTATTAACCTGTTTAAATATAATTACAAGTTATCCAGGTGACAGGGTTATTAACCTGTTTAAATATAATTACAGTTATCCAGGTGACAGGGTTATTAACCTGTTTAAATATAATTACGAGTTATCCAGGTAACAGGGTTATTAACCTGGAGGGTTATTAACCCAGGATAACATAATAAAGCCACTGCTATCCGACTGACTAACTTTCATTGAAATCCTCTCTCCCAGGATGCCACCCACAGCAGTCACCTAGCATGAAAGTACCTACTTAGTGCTAGGTGAACAGTGAGCACCAGGTGTAAGGTGACTAACACCCAGGTACCTACTTTCTGCTAGGTGAACAGGGATCGAACCTTGGTCCCTAAGATCATCTTTGAAAGCTGCAACAGAATGCATACACATTGCAAGAAATAAATGCCTCTTTGGCATCGCACGAGCTCATCTCGGCTTGAGTAGAAACTCCACACACACACCAAACCCTGATATATGGAACACATTACCAGAAGATTCTAAAAGAATAAAAATTGACACAATGGCTGGAATAATTCACCAAAAACTCTCCAGTTAAGAAATTAATCCAGTGAAAGTTTTCAGTCAATCCTGGATTAATGTGACTGATTGATTGTGATTGACTGAAATGTCATAAGTTTCCTCCTTATTGAAGGTTTTATTGAAAAATTTCTGAAAGTTCCATATCTGCCAACTGTTTCATAAATATTTTAAACTAACACCTGGATTTGATGTGATCTAAGATATTCTTCGTGTCTGACTGAATTTCTACAGAAATCTTTTGCAAATTAAAGGGTTACAAATTTGCTGGAGCCTACCATGTAACTTTAAGAATTGCACCAAGTAACTCAGTTTACCTTATTCCTAGTACAGTGAACCCCCAGCATACGATATTAATCCGTTCCTGAGAGCTCATCGTATGCCGAAATTATCGTAAGGCGAATTAATTTTCCCCATAAGAAATAATGGAAATCAAATTAATCCGTGCAAGACACCCAAAAGTATGAAAAAAAAAATTTTACCACATGAAATATTAATTTTAATACACACAAACTGAAGAACACATCCACACGTACTAAGCTACTAAGAATAGAATACATGACACTTACCTTTAATGAAGATCTGGTGATGATTGATGGGATGGGAGGAGGGGAGAGTGGAGTTGCTATTGTTTAGAAGGGGAATCCCCTTCTATTAGGACTTGAGGTATCAAGTCCTTATCACACTATGTATGCCACTATGATTCTTAAATCTTTCAAACCAACCTTTGCTGGCCTTAGGTTCACTCACATTACCACTAGTTGCAGGCATTTTTTCAATTAAATCCTCATGCAACTTCCTAGCCTTTTCACATATGATTGCTTGAGAGATGCTATCTCCTGCTATCTGTTTTTCATTTATCCACACCAATAACAGTCTCTCAACATCTTAACGCTTGCGATCTCTGTTTTGAAAACAGACATGCACCTTTTGCAAGAACAGCTTCCTTGATTGCCTTTTTCTTGGCCACTATAGTAGCGATGGTTGATTGAGATTTGGTATACAACCTGGTCAGCTCCGACACACACACTCCACTTTCGTACTTTGCAATTACGTATCTCTTTCTTCATTTCCATAGTAATTAGCACCCTTTTTCCTGCAGGGTTGACACTAGAAGCTTTCTTGGGGCCCGTGGTGACTTATTTTGCAGAAACAAGCACCAAAAACACTGTGATAATATGGAATGTACTGAATGTATGCTTAGATGCGACCACACTGGCTGGCTTGTAAACACTGGGACGCACGGGCCACACGTGGGACGCATCCCGGACGAATCACGTGTGGCGGGTTTTTTAACAGTGGCAAGGCAAAATTTTTGCGTTAAAATGTATCGTATGCCGGACTTAATGTATGCCGATGCCATCGTATGCCAGCGGTCCACTGTATCTCCTTTTATTGTAACTGATTTTCACAGTTGAGTTACTTAGGTGTTTTGATTTTTAAGGTTTAAATAATAAGGTATTACAAGGACCTCAATGGAAAGTCACTTTCTCAGACTTTTTGGGGGGATTATCCTAAGTAATTTACACTATGCATGATAATTGTACTCATGTGTACCTGTGCTTAAATAAACTTACTTAATATGCATATTACATATACAGAACAAATACTGTACAAATATTAGTCCAAAGCTAAAACAATTGTGGGAAGTATGCAACAGATCACATGGGCCTAAGATTAGAAACTAATCTCACCTTTGGTACTCCACACATAAAACTCGTTGTGAGTAAACACTGCACAAATCAAATTACCAAAATTTGGAATAATCTACCTGAAGGATCAAAAACTCACCAAATTAATACCTTCAAACATAGTTAAAAGAATTCATGAGCATTTATATACTATGCCAGTTATATCTCATACTACTAACTTGTTAAATTGCTACCTCCCCATCACACGCTAATTCACTTTATTATATACAGAAATTATTTGTGCTAAATTGTCATACAAATCTTAAATTACAGTACATGTCATAATCTTTATCAAAATACTTGTAATAAGAGGTCATTAGTACTAGTTTTAATCTGCACCCAAAATACTTCACAATGATTTATATTTTAATATGCCATGAAAGGATTAGGTAACTCATCTAGGCTTTTATAGCAATATTGGAGAAGTTATATACTGGTATTGATGGTTTAATCATATACAGTAGAACTCCCATATCCATAGATTCAGTATCTGTGGTTGCAGTTATCCACAGTTTACTGTGGCCTAAAAATACCTCTTAATTTTGCATAATAATGGTCCTATAGTGCAAAAGTAGAGAAGCTGACAGTTATTCAAACCTAAGAGAAGCTGTGAAGACCTTCCCATCAGTGAAAGAAGTAATTATTCTCCACTTATTGTGCATAATTTATCAATTAAACTTTATAATAGGTATGTATAGAACTTGTATATGGGGTTTGCTACTATCCACAGTTTCGGTATCCATGGCATGTCCTTGGAACGTATCCCCTGCAGATACGGGGGTCGTACTGTAATACATGTATTTAAATTTATAATATTATACATTTGTATATCAGTAAAAAGACTGGTACTATATATGCAGTGAAGTATTGTAATTTTTCAATGCTGAAGTCTATTTGCTTTATGTACTGAAATATTTGTGTGCATGACTGTCTAACTAAAGCACTAATAATCTTGATGCCCAGCTGCATAATGGGTACTGCAAAATTATGCATATATTGATTTTGCTTAACATTTTTAAAAATTGATGCAAGATAGAATTCACCCAATTTGTTAGCTATTTTTTCAACATTGCCTGTCCATATTGAGGGCTTAGTTATAATTGATTTCTATTTACTTGTGTGTGTGAAACCCACAAATGCAAAATGTACCAAGAATCTTAACCAGTGGTTAAAAATAATCCTAAACATGTCACAGTATGTGTATGCAGTGCTATGTGTGTTTTGGTAAAGGGTTGCAATAGAATACTGAAATAATAATTGTACATAATAATTTGGGGTTTTATAATTCTTGAGTGCCTGATCTTTCAAGAAACTCGCATGTGCTCTCACACTAAACTATAAATACAAGAAAAAAAAGGAATGCTTAAGTTTACATCAAAGAGTAACAGTATGATCATCAGGATCCTAATCTTTAGATAGTTTTATAAGCTCCACATTAGTTGACCCACAAGTTGCTTGTCCTGGGGTCCTATGGACTCTTAATGCTACTATAGAAACATGATTTAAAAAAATCAGCATTTGTCAGTTTTGTCACCACTTCTCCCTCCCCAGATTACATTCCACTTTCTGGAGATAACGTGCAGATATACTCGATCTGATAAGAGGTTGCTTAATTTTGTGTAGGTCAAAGGACTTCTGTCAGAGATCAAGGTGGGATTGTGGGATATATACGACTAGCATTGTGTTATAAGGTGTGAGATCATTTTTCTGGGGGAAGTATTTTACAGTTTAAAAAGAAAATGTAATCTGATTTTGAACTTGCCATTATTAGTATTCAGAATTCATTTACAAATAAATTAGCATTATTTAAATTGAACTTTCTCAGTGTGTATATTTGAATTACTGTGTGAATAAATGGTTCACAAGACCAGCAAGTTGATAAATATTGCACAAGTGTCAAATTTCATTTTTACCCATTCCTGATAACTCTTATACAAAATACATTAGATTGTAATGAGGTAATCAAAATTCAGCTGTACAGAATTATGCCACAAAATGTAGCATATGCTAGATAATTTAGCCTCCTTACTAGTAACAAAAATATAAGTTTTATTGGCAGTAATGGAAATGGGGAAAAAAATATAAATTCATAGATTTCAGTATCAAGGAGCTCTAAAGACAAGAATACTGTACGTACTTATGAGTGGAAGGTTTTACCACAACTATGTCTATGAAAATATCTGCAAGGTTTCATCGGGGAAATCTGCATAATGTTGACGAGAAAATACCAAACGGACATTCTACTATCATCTACATAAGAGTAAGTGTATTGCCTGAAATTTCAGTATTTTCTATGTACTATATACTACTATGCATTGTGGAACGCGTTAATGATTGCAATATTATGGTGCTTGAAACAAATATGCATGATTTTGTCATTGTCTTTAATAACATACCATCAAGGAAACAATGTAATTTTGTTTGATGCAATATGCTTCTTTGTAAATAAAAAATGTAATAATCTTTTCACAGTAAACCCTCATTTTGCCAGACTAATAGGGGTTAGCGGGTGGCCGGTAGTGGTGATTGTGGTAGATGGAGGTGAGATTTTGTAATTTTGTGTGTAACGTTGTAGGTTTGAATGTATGAACTCCAACAAAGGAACAGAGGGTGTATGGACACGGGTATTGCAAGTTTAGCACATAATTTGTTTATAATAATTGTTGTGAAAGTAACAGACAGTGCTGTCAGTTTGTAAATCAGTTATTGCAGCAGATTTTGTTCTGTTTCCTCAGCCCTTTCAGTCAAAAGGCATGAAATCAGGTCTGTTAAATCTAGGTTATACTGTATTTTTCAGCAGATAATTATTCTTCATTCATTAGGGATTTGCCGGTACTTTCGGCCCGGGTCTTCTCCAGATGGCGACCCGGCGATAATTATTCTGTATTAAAGATTTCGTATCATAGATGTGTAATCATATTTCAAAACTACTGTACATTATTAGGTAAGGATATTGTACAGAGCTCATACTTGTAGATTACCTGTAGATAGATATGGGCATCATTGCACCTTTGGCTTGGTCCTCAGACTAGTTTATGTAGATTTTTGGGATGCCCATAGTATTCACAGCATATTAGGCTGTGCAATACAGTGTACTAATTAATGTTGGAAGTTCTCTTATTTTATTTTTGGTTGCAAGTTAGGGAAAGTGTCCTTTTTCTTTCAGGCTCCTGTTCAGCTGTTGAGGTCCTCAATTTCTTGAAATTCTTGCCTTATAGACATCTTTTCCCCTATTTAAATAAGTTGGAAATAAAATTTGCCTTCTTTCTTGATGTATAGTTTAACTACATCTAACCAAGGTAGGACGATTCCAAAAAGGGAAATACATTGACAGTTGCTCATTTAATAACTGTCTTACCAGATATACATGGACATCATAGTTTAATTGACCCTCTAAACTGCAAGATTCCCATCCTTTTGATAGTTACTCTGTCCATAATATAGTGGACCCCGCATAACGATATTATTTCAATCCAGAAGTCTGTTTGGGTGCTGTTATAGACCGAATTTGCTCCCATAAGAGATATTGTGAATTAGATTAGTCCTTTTCAGACCCCCAAAAATACACCTACAAAAGCACTTACAAAAATACACTTACATAATTGGTCGAGTTGGGAGCTGTTCGTTATGTGGGGGTCCACTGTATATAGCAGATCCCCCCAAATACATGGGATTACATTGCTAGAGGTCCTGCAGTTCTAAATATTACACTGCCTGCACTCTCTCCAGGTAACTCTGAAGGAGGGGTAGGGATGTTGTGCCTCAGAGGATCATTTGAATGGTGATGTCTGTGCAGTTCTAGCAAGACAACTATTGAATGAATAACAGCAAATGCTTCCTTTTAAGGGTGGTCCTACCTTGGCAGAAGATGGCTTGTGTGATAAAATACATGCATATGATAAAGTTTAATTGATAAATTATGCACTTTTTCACTGTTGTGAAGCACTTCACAACTTCTCTTAGGCTTTGAAGAGCTGCCAGCATCACTGCTGTTGTGCTTTGGGGGTCCATTACTAAGCAAAATTAAAAGGTTATTTTCAGACCTCGGTAAACCAAGGATAACTGAAACTGTGGATACAGGGGATCTACTGTATTTTTTTATTGTAGGTTTGATGCCCACGTGATCTGAAAATATTGTGCTTAAACATTGTGATTGTGTTACTTGTTTACTACTGTTGTATCCATTATGGTATTAATGATCTAATGTCATACACAGTAGCTTTGTCATTCCATTTGGTTTTCATATTTAGTCCTCATATACATGTATGTCTATTATATTCATGGGAAAGTGCTAAACCCATAATAGTTATACAGTGCATATGAATGTGAGGTAATTAAGTTTGATCCAGAAGAAAGGGTAGCTCCTGTTCATTGAATCGAGAGTTCTTCACAAACGTTGAGGCACCCCTTGAAAGGTTTATTTACTGTATCTGAACTTAAGGTTCTGGGGGAGAGTACAGTGCATAACTGAAGGATAGGTTTTGATGTTGCAGTTCTCTTGAACTAGTAAAATTGAACGAGTTTCCTTCTTTTGGTCAAACTATAGTAGTGGGAATCTGCCAGTAAGGTAAAAAATTATGTAATACTGTATAAATAATTTTTTTTAGCCCTTGGTTATTTTTCCCCTCAACGTGCACTGATTGCATTGAGTACTGTTCATATTTACTTTCTCTTTTTTCCTTGCCATATAATGTTTTGAAATATTTTTTTATATCTACTGTACATATCTTGTGTGCTTATACATATGGATGTTACTAGTAATGCACATAAAGGGATCCACTGTAACTGCTTACATGACACTCGTTAGTAAAATTTTCGTAACAGTACCATACGTAAAACATTAGAAAGATATGTATGTGCAGTATTGCTCAGAATTGTGCTAAAAAACTTTTTTAAATTGCTGATGGGGTGAGGGATGGGTATTTTCTTCAAGGAAAGTTTTCGCTCATATAGGTCTTAGTCAAAGATGACCCCATCAGTGCCATGTTGATCATTATGGGACCATAGTCAAAATAACCCCATCAGTGCCATGTTGGTCATTATAGGACCATAGTCAAAATAACCCCAACAATGCCATGTTGGTCATTATAGGCTCAAGACTAACCACTGTCGTACCAGTTTGCCATGACAAAATTAATAGGTATATACAATACTGTTTCATGTCATACGATGTGCAGTAGTTGCGGAGATTTAATTCCAAGTTTGCTTATTTTCTAATTGTTAGATGAATATTGCTAGAGCAGAGGTAAAAGTGGATAAACAAAAGAATGGATAGGAACTTGAGGTAAAAGTGGATAAACAAAAGAATGGGTAGGAACTTGAGGTAAAAGTGGATAAACAAAAGAATGGATAGGAACTTGAGGTAAAAGTGGATAAACAAAAGAATGGATAGGAACTTGAACTGTAGTCCTAGCAATAACAGGTCCTCTCAGGACTACAGTTAGTCTGTCTATACTTTTATTTATTCATTGTGAGTCATTCATTATGTCCTATCTTGAGGTTAAAAATTGAAGTTTTGAAGGAGAAACTAGAGTACTGTTTTTAAAATGCCTGGTGATGGATATATGTAAGTCTGCAGGTTGATTGTAGCAACAGTCTGGTTGAACAGTCAGTCAACAGTGTAATTTGGCATTATTTTTGAGAGTAGAAAAAATCTTGAAAATGGTCACAGGTATGTCTCAGGGAACTTTTAGACCTTTACAGTTTTTTTGCAATGTTGTTGTAAACAGGAAAAAAAAAAAAAAACTTGGTTCTGGTGAAAGACTCTTAGTCTAAGGAATTGAAGCTGCCAACCCCTTCCTTGGAGCAAACTTCATCACCCCCCCTCCCCCATCCTTCCCATAACCCATTCTTATGGTTTAGCTCTACCCCATGAATACAGTAATACAGCTTGCATTCCAAGTCAGTCTTTTTGAATTTTAACTGAAGTGAAATTTAAGGTGGTAAGAGTGCGTTTGGGAGTAGTAAAGATGTTACCTTGAATGTTCATAACATCTGGATGGACTTGTAAAGTTCCCTTCAGGGTGTTATCTACAGATAAGCAAGCTGTCACTGTAGGAAATCACACACGTGCTGAAGCTCATTCAGATACTCTTCGTACAAAACTTGGTATTAATTCTCTATTGATCATATTGTAAGGAATTTTAAGAATCATACCAAAAGTGTACTATATTTTTATTTTAAAACGTGTAATACAGAATATTTAATATAATTTACGTTTTATGCATGTTAAAATAAACATTGATTTAAATTTGAAAGAATGCCTGTATGTATTATTACATACATATACTACATTCATACCCCTCCCTACGTCAGTAATTGGTTCCAAGAGCCGTGACATAACCTGGTTTTTGATGTAAACATAAGGACATAGAGGAACACTGCAGTATACCTGTCGGCCCATACTAGGCAGGTCCTTCACAAATCAAATCCGCTAACAGAATAAGCTTTGATAATTCTATTTATTCACGTGCAAGTCCCACTCAAATCCAACCCCTCTCACTCATGTATTTATCCAACCTAAATTTGAAACTACCCAAGGCTTTAGCTTCGATAACCCTACTAAGCAGACTGTTCCACTCATCAACTACCCTATTACCAAATCAGTACTTCCCTATATCCTTTCTAAATCTAAACTTATCTAATTTGAGTCCATTATTATGGGTTCTCTCTTGGAGGGATATCCTCAAAACCTCATTTATATCCCCTTTGTTAATACCCGTCTTCCACTTATACACTGATCATTCTTCGTCTTACCAAACATAATGCCTTAAAAATGGCTTAAAATGATGACAAACACCGTAAACCCATCATAAATAACTCTCGAAAGAATTTAACTATTGCTAAACCTTAAAGAACACTAAAAACACATTTTAGTCATATTTTTTAAAGAATAATGAACACACAAATTATGATTTAGGTGACATTGTTAAGTGACGTAAAATCGAATGTAATGACGTTCGCTGAACTGAAATTTACTCTAGAAAAGTGGCGTAAAGACAAATTTGATGTAGGCCAAAATGACGTACAGTGGGGTATGACTGTACTATGTTTATTACAAATATTTTTTGTTTCCATGGTCTAGCACTAGGAAGACTAAAATAACCCCAATTACTGGTGTAACCAAAATTGGCAGCCCAGTTTAGATTACTCTCTAAATATTAGCAGGTTGTATCAAACTTAGAATCCTATCATTCTTAACCTTACCTCTTTATTATTTTCTTTAGTTATAAGTCCTAATGGTAAGGTATATATTAGAAT